GGCACTTTTTGTAATTTTGTTCTGTGACTAAAATTTTTATAAATTTTTAAAAATTAATATATTCCAATAGTATACCAATAATATAGTATGCACTTTGAATTTTAAACGTCTGGGATATGCTGGGCTGAATTGGAAGCGATTTTACAAAGGAAAGTGATATTATTTTTTGTTCAATTCGTTTGTAACTTTTTTACTTGACATATACTGGCATTAAATAAAGCTTAAATACTTAGTTTATATTTTTAATAGTTGTTCTGCACTGTGGCTGGCTTTTACATTTGTTATTTTGTTAAGCCACGGAGCCCCTTGACACCTGTTCGCCCCTGCCGCTGCTAACTCTGGCCACCAATTTCATGATCATACGGAAACGACGTCCACGTACATTTGCCATATTATTTAAATTTATAATACTAGCAAATAATGTCTACTTACATGCATACGTATGTGTATCGGTTCATTTGTTAAGTTTATATATCATCGCAGTTTTCTAAAAAAATAGATTTAACAACCAAATAGCATGTATACGTAAATGTGTGTGGATAGGTATCAGAAACTGCGATGGTTAGTTGGGTGGGAGTAAGATTCCACAAAAATAGGTAATAGTGTAGGGGGCAGCTGATTTACCCCCTTCCCCTCAGCCCCCTTGCCACCGCTCAATTAGTTTTTACACCTGTTCTCCCCTCCTCATTCTCTATTATAGCTTTCCTTAACCCCCGAAGTTTCCCTCGCACACCCTAAAATAAGTAAAAATTGTTTTTATTTCAATGGCAAACTAACCCAATAAAGTTCATGATTCCCCTCCCCACTGCCCCCTCACCGCCGCGCAATTTGACCTTGCACCTACTTGTCACCCCTCATTTTCTTCTCAAGCTTTCTAGCTATCAGGTTCACCCAGCGCAGACCTTGAAGAAGATCGTTGATTCCTGGTTAAATGCTAAGAGTTAAAAGGGTAATGCAGGGTCGACAGTCACCGATGTTCTTAGCCTTGCAACGAACAACTCCCACTTGTGACG